AAACTATGGACAGAAATCGAAGAAGCTACTATCCATGCATTGCATTGGCACATGCATACGTGCCACACAGAAGTAAATGGAAACTGCAGTCACAGACATGCAGCGTTCCTATAGACTCTGACATGCGCGGCTTCCATCCACCTTCTCTCCCAATCAAGAACTGTTTGAGTTGCTGCTTTCCATTTACCTAAAGATCCAAGGCTCAATTGTACAGTGAAAACCCTAGAAGCAGGAAAAAATCTTTCCAAAAGGAGTAAAGATGAAGTAGAAGTAAAAGGTGTGTCCTTTGGGGAACATGCAGAGAATTCCTAGGGATAGTATAAAAGATGAATGAGGATGCACACTGGCTTATGGAAGTGATAGCTTTGGGTACTAAGAGAGAATGGAAGTAATATAGAAGTGAATGATTGCTAGAACACATTCCTTTGAAATCAATAATGTACTCAAATGGGACTCCTGGGTCTTCAGGTTGTGAACAAACCTTGACCAACTATCTCACAGGAGAATTTTAGAAAGAATTGAGAGACCCTGTGGCCAGTAGACTTCCTCCAGCATGCACACCTACTTCTAGCATCACCTCAGGTTTCAGACGGTCAATAAAGGCTGAGTTTTGTCTCTGTGTCTGCTTAGTTGAGGCTCATCCTCATTCCTAAAGTGAGCTATTTCTGAGACAGGCTGGGATTTCACAAGCCCTTCCACCCTTAGCCAACCTGACTAAGGTTTATTATCTCAAGGACTTAGACAATTCTGACTGACTCCACAAAGGCAGAATCTCGAAAGCATTGCTGTTTCTCAATATGCCCCACCCATCCTCAGGTTCACTCCTAGATCTTGAAGTACTGCCCATTAAAGTCTAATAATATTACAAGATGCTACATTTTTGAGCAGCTCCTTGAGTTGTACTCACTCGATTGGTTAAAACTCTCACCTGCTAGCCCCATAGGGAACGTAGTCACTTGCTGGAGTTTGCACCTCTAGGATGGTGTCACTGGGATCTGACAGCAGTAGGCTGCTAGGTGGCTGCTGTCAAGCGTCTACTCTTTGTCAGTGTAATAATACAAGCTGCTTTCCAGGGGTCAAGCACAGCTCTTAGGAAGATCTAAGGTATAGATTGACAACATTCTTGTGTTTCCTAGAGATTACTGTTAAAATAGTCCAGAGAATGCCTTATAATCCAAATGATTAAAGAACCATCTAAGTTGAAACTCTGTCTTGCCCCACAAGAGTAGAATGGATCATGTGGGCTGCATTGGTGTGATGATCCTCTTGATAGTAGTGAACCTTAAATATATTATTCTATTGCTTTATACCTACTCATCTTGTTTTTCAAGTTTTTCAGATTTTGTTTTAATAATTTTATTATCTCAATGATTTAGGCAATCTAGTCCTACTTGTTATAGAGAACAGAAGTCTCTTGGGGGTAATTAGGATTTGGACAACAGGGTGTTAATATAGGTATCTGGTTTGAGTCAGTTAAAAGGTGGCTGACACCAAACATTCAGTGGACTATGGCCTGATGGTTGACACCGACACCGCACATTCGGGAGCTGACAGTAAACAATGATGTAACATGTAATATTCCTGGCAGAATACCACTTTCATGTGTTTTGCAGAAATACGCCCTTGAGAGCAGAGGCAAATGCCCTCACCTTTTCCCTTTGCCAGGTAGGCTGTGGAGGCCTGTGGGACTACGCACAGCCTGTGTGCTGCTCCACACATGTGCCAATGTGAGGCTCACACGTGCAAGTGTGTGCCTGGGTGCTTGCCAGCATCTGCCTGCCTAACAACCTATGTATCCAGGAAAAAAGTGTGTCTCCTTGGCCTATACCCTGTCCCATCTTCTTCAAACCCCTATCCTCTGATGCCCTCCCTCTTTCCTGGCTTCAGACTGTGGACTTCACACCTGCTGTCTATTGAATAGCTTCCTTATGTGACTGTAATTTCAAACTGAGTTCAAAGAATTTTTAAACCATGTTCAGGATGTTTTCAGGTTTTGTTTTGTTTTTGGATTCACTTTACATACAGATTGCAGGGCCCTCCTTCCTCTTCTCCTGGCCCTCTGGTTCCTCCCTCCCTTCCTTTTCACCTTCCCCTTCTAAGAAAAGAGGAGCCCCATCCCATCAACCCTTCCTGGCACATCAAGTCATATCAGGACTAAGGGAATCCTCTTCTGCTGAGGCCCAACAAGGCAACCCAGGTAGGAGGAAGTGATCCAAATGCAGGCAACAGAGTCCATGTCAGAGACAGGCCCCACTCTAATTGCTAGATTCTCATGAAGACCAAACTGTCCATCAGCTACATATGTGTAGGGATCTAGGTCCAGTCAATGCATGCTCTTTGGTTGGTGGTTTAGTCTCTGTGAGCCCCCATGGTCCTCAGTTATTTCATTCTGTTGGTCTTCTTGTGGAGTTCTTGTCCCCTCTGGGTCTCTTTTTCCTTCCACCAACTTGTTTTCCAAAAGACTCCCTGAGCTCTGCCTAATGTTTGGCTGTGGGTCTCTGCATCTTTTTCAGTCTGCTTCTGGATGGAGCCATGCTTTACTGGCCACAAGGTCTCCTAGGCTCAATACTGGTTCTTTCTAAATATTTGGCCCATTAGCCTTCATATGCAAAATGTTTGGTTTAGTTTTTTTGGTTTTGAGTGTAAAAAGGTACTGTGAATTCAAACGCCAGCTTATTTAAATCCAGGCTCATGACTATGCTTTTGGGTGACTCGTCTGCACCCTTGTCTTCATGGGCTGATGAGGTTTTGCTTTGCCAGGAACAGAGATGAGAATTAGTTTTTCCAGTTCATTCCCAACTTGTAGGGGCCCAGCTTTGTATATCCGGTTATCTGGAGAACCAATAAAGCATGTGTGTACTCAGTGGCTCCAAAGAAGTGGGCTTCTCACCACCACCACCACGACGGGCCAAACAGCTCTCTCACTTGTGCCATGTTCTCACCCATTGCTCTTTTGTATGCTCTTTCGAGTTCAACTTTCCTATTGCAACCAACATTTCATTTTTGTAGTGCCTTTCAAATTTCTGTTGTCACAGTGCTTACCAGGTACACAGGTATACATCTAGAAATTGTTTTTATCAAAACTCCATTTGAACAAACACAAAGCTCTTCTGGCTTGTGTCAAAGCCTAAACTCCTGTCTGCATTCCTAAGGTCATTGTACCAGCTCCTGTAGCTGCAGATGGTGTCTTGAGGCTATTACCTGAATCTACAGTTAGGACGCCCTACACTACCAGGCGAGGGGCTGATCTTGCTGTTAACACAGAAGGGCAGACCTATAGTTTTAAAATAGAAGTTGTAGGCAATAAAAGTTGCTTTTTAATCATCCTACTTTATGCTACTTAAAAATACAATGCTAGGCAAAGAGGCACATGCCTACAATCACACTTAGGAAGTTGAGGGAGGAATTATAAGTCTAGAGAGTATGGATCAGAGGCTAGTCAGGGGACAGGTCTTGAGTACTAGTATGATACCCAGCATGACCCTGCTTCTAAAAACAAACCCCAAATACAAAATAAAATATTAAAACAGAGACAAGTGACAACAACAACAAAATTCCTCATTTTCCAGTAAGTAGAAGATCAGTTGGCTTGGCTTGGTACGTTGCTTTACAGTTGTTAAGGATATGCAAAGCAAAACACACTGTAAATTATTGCTATTAGTGAAAATAATCAAGGGGTCAACCTGTAATCTATCATGTGCTTGAGATCTGTGCTTATAGCTTGTTTCCCAGAGAGCATGGGTTCAAAGGACAGTCGATTCCATGGAAATGACTTGGTAACTGTGTGAACCTAGCAGGCAGTCCGTCCTTTTGCAGCAGAGATAGTTTCTGTGTGTATCATATGGTTACCACCTAGGTAACTGTGATTCCAGATAAGGAAGCGTTCCACCAGTGACAAAACACTCTACATTCTGATGGCAAAAGACTTTCCAGAGGGTGACTAATGTTAAATTATGATTAAATAGAATCCCACTTTATATACTCAGGGAATTTATAAATTAATAAGTATCATTCAAACAGGAGAAAACATTATGGAAAGATATGAAACTGTATAGGCTTCACTCTCTCAAGAGTGAAAACCAAAAACAAACAACAAACAAACAAACCAACAAGGAACAAAATCCACCTGATTAGTGAAGAACTTCACTAAGGTTCACCTACACAGACAGAATTCTCAGCTTTACTTTGGTAAAAAGACACGAAAAAAGTAAACTTACTGACTTTATTGCTTTTTTTGTTTGTTTGTTTGGTTGGTTGTTTTGTTTTTAACAAGAGAGCTCACTGCTATCTTTCAAAAGGGATAATTTTAATATCCATTATATCAGTGTGTGTTCCACGGAGTCACCTCGCCTTTAGCTTTCTGTATTGCTGCAATGGTGAGAGCAGGTTAAGTCCTTGCGTGACTCCTACTCTCCGGACTGTCAAGTCCAGCATCTTGGAGGAGTAGCAGTCATTGATTAACGCACCAGCCCTGGCCACGGCAACTGTGGTGAGCTCCTCCAGATGGCACAATGAGCTGTGATGTGCTGAGAAGCCCTTACACATCGTTCACTAACCACGAAACCATGGCATGGATTTCACCAAGTTCAGGTACAAGAGGTGGAGAATGAACGAACAGTCAGAGAATAAATACGGAGGAAAATTATTTTTTTAACGAAGTAATATTTTCAATTGCTTCCACAGATGCTTTTTTGTGAAAATATTTATATGAAAAAGCAATACACCATTCTGTTTTACTTAGTCATCACTACCATTAGATTTTGACACAAATGGAACTTGGCAATAAAATGGCAGTATGTAAGGTCAGGGTTATGTATAATTCTGTGACCAGAGAATTTGTAATGCAGGCAATGTAGTACTTGAAATGATGCACTGATTTCTCATTTCAGTTCTACACATCTATTTTAGAGAGCACAGAATACACAGGTAAAGAGAAAAAAATACACTGGGCTAAATAATCAAACTATTACAAAGAACAAACACACCAATTTTATAACGTATTGACTTCCAAATGAACAATGTCTTTACTATAAAAATTGCATTTCTACAAAGCTGTCAAGAGACAAATAAAATTCCGTCACATTAGAAATGATCCAAAGCCACATGTGAACAGCATCCCAGTCTACACACACTGTTAGAGAGTATGCCACTGAGGTTTACGGGCTAGGCTGAAGCTGTCCAAGGCTGAGAAGCTGGGCCTCCGGCTTTGGGTAGCTGCTCAAAAAACTGACCTGGCAAGTTTCATCAGACTCCGCTGTGGCTTCTGTCAGACAAGCTACAATCTTGACAGGACCAAATACAAGAATGAGGTAAAGAGACACAACACTGGCAGAGGTTTCGTTGGCACAAAGATTTACACTATTACTTTCTCAACAGTTGATAAATTTGACAGGCAAGTCATCACACATCTACAATACTGACAGGAAAAACAGTGGAACATTAAAAGGAAGAACCCAGAAAATCTGCACACACCAGCAACAGCACCAATCTCCTCTTCTTTCTTTTATTCAAATTTAGGATTTTATGCTGAAATATTATTCCCCCTTTTCAATCTCTTAAAAGTTCCCTTTGGACTCTATTGTTTCCTATCTTACAAAAAGCCACTTGGTAGATATTCTCTTCACTAACACTTTAATTCCCCCCACACTTCCCATAGATGCTACAAGATGCACTTATTCAAGCTTACATAGACTCAAACCATGTGGCAATATCATAATTATCAGCCAGTATTTGATCCTCAAAACTAACCCTGTAGATTATTCAGCTGCCCAAAGCTTATCTGCGTCAAGCTTGTCTGCCTTCAATTACACTAGTTACTATAGATAGCCAGTGTAGATCCCATGTGCAGGACAAGACTGCAGTGATTCCATGCAATGGCCTGGGCAGTGAACGCGCCGTCCCTTACATGTGCCATGATTAGCTTTCAAAAGAAGACAATAACAACAACAAAAAAGTGAAATTGCCTGAGCATTGCTTCCATGAGATTCTAAGCAAGCTGGTGTGATTCAGTTAAGGAGGTGAATAGTAAAAGAAAAAAATTTAAAGAGGTTTAACTGGCATGTTCATATATTCGAGTGAAGAACAAGGCACCTTACTCTAACTACCTGTACATAAAGCACTGCACACCCTCATTCCACAAATGCTATCTCATTCACCCGATTTTAACATACAGAAAATAGCATCCTACAAGAGCAGATATGGCAATGGAGGGGAAGCATGGTTAGTTTTGTTTTATAAAATCATGTTTCCATGCATTTAACTTCTGGATAAATTTATTATGTACACAAAAAAATAAAGTTATATTAAATGTTGATCTAAGTTTAAGTTGATTTTCCTTTAATTTTATATTAACTAAATACTGAAAATAAATCTAAAGTCTTCAAATGTAAAGAAATTAAATTAGCTAAATAATTTCTGGACTATTTACCAGAAACTCAATTTTTTTTCCAGGATGTTAGAAACAGAAATCTAGGAAAAATGACTCCTACAGATAAATATAATTTTATTGGACTGGAACTTCTTATCCATAACTTTTTTTCCCAGCCTCTGATTTCTTTTATGTATTATTCAGAAAGGAAACATATTATCTCATTGTATAATTAAATAGTTTTTTGGGGTCCAACTGGAAACTGGTTGTGAATCATTTATAAATGCCAAGGCAGACTAATTCTTCACGCCTTCTCTCTTGTCAAACATCCCCTTAAAATCCAGCATGTCAACTGGAGAAGGGTACTTCACAGAGCACAGACATGAGCCTCATAGAAAGGAAGTGTCAGAAGGGCCAAAACATGGGAGAGTAAGCAGTTTTGTGATAGCCTCAGCTTTGAACTGATAGTTAGTTAAGTTACAAAGATGAAATAAAAACATTAATAAAAATGATTTGTCACAATATCTTTCTTTGTGCAAGGTTAGCAGCAGCCTCATGCAGTACAGGAGGACATATTCTGAAGCCCCACCACCACTAAGCCTCCTGTTGGCAGTTAATGCAGGCAAAGAATTATCTAAGCAGCCAGAAAATATACCACATATCCCTTCTTTAAAATGATACAATCATTTTAAATTTCATAAACCTGTAGCCATTATTCTGACTCGACCAAGGGGAATAAGATTGACTTTAGTCATCTTTCATGTAGCTAGAATCTAATTTTATGGACTTATTCTCAAACAAAAGAAAGTAAGAGAAGAGATGGCAAGATTTTTTTTTTAAAGGAAGCTTGGTTCCTTGATACTGATATCAGATTGAGTAGGGAGAGATTTTATAATACAATTCTCTAGAGGACTAAGGGAGACAGAAATAAATCAAATATTTTACCTCCTGATATTGATTTTCATCATTTTTTCACAAAGAGCACATCACTGAAAGCAAAGCAGACATACCTTATCAGTTGTTATTAAAGTGCTTCCAGAGACAGAGAACCCTTGAGATGGAAACTAAACCCCACAAACCTGAAGTCACCTTTACCAAGCTACCTTGTAGTGATAAAACTATGAGCACTCTGGGTTCAGAAAAACAAAGAATGTGGCTGAAGGAACTCTTGAAGAAGTTACCCTGTAAGTACTACAGGTTGACGTAAACAAGTTGTTCATACCTGTCTTATGAAGCCTCTACTACCTATTTTTCAGGGACTATAGCATGTCTTTGAGATACTTGGCAGTCTTGGCCTCCTCAGCTGTGGTTGCTGATTACCTAGAGCTCTAAATCGAATGACAGCAGTGGATGCAGACTGACCACTGTCTGTGCCTTCACTGTAGAACACTTGTGACTGTGGGGAGGCTTTAGGTCCACAGAGGTAGAGTCACAGGAATTAAAGCTAAGAAATAAAAGACAACAGCAACCAGAGCTCCTTTTTAAGGTTGTATCTGTATCCAGGTCTCCTGCAATTTCTAGCCCCAAGACAGTGTTTGTCGGCCGTGATAACAGATGTTTCTAATGTGACAAAAACAAATGTTCAAAAATGAAGACTCAGACACCTCCTGTACTTTAAGGGTGCTCTGAAATAATGTGACTTTCCTCTCACCTTATTAGGCCAGCAGCCTCACTTCTAAAAGTGCTAATGAGGACTGAAGAGAAGTCCTCTGATTGACTCTTTGGCCCTCAAGCACATCAACTTATTCTCCACTTAAGTCCCCACAAAGATCCTAACAACGTGGTGGCTGCATGCTGTACTCTCGTTAGGACAGTGGGGCTTACTACCATGTAACCACAGGACCAGAGATCAACCATCTTCAAAAAATGAACACTGCTCATTCAGTCCCCCCAAAACAAACAACAAACAAACAAACAAGCAAACAAACCCTAAGAATTTGGCTTAAACTGCAGACCAGACAGAAGCAGACTTATTTTTTGTGGCCTGTATTTTTAGAAACGGCACCATGCATCCTATGGCCCCTTGTTGGCATGCTGGCTCTTGCGCTGCCTCAGTGAGTCTTCTATCACCTCCTGTGTGTTGGCTGGATGAGCTTCATTGGATTCAAGTTCCTCTTGGGACACACTGCGCTCCTTCATGACTCCTTGGTATTTGGTGTCACTTCTTTCCTCATCCATACTGCCTGGCAGGTTGTCCTCCTCTTCAACATCTTCTGCTTCATCCTCATCTCCAAGGTCCTCTTTCTCTTCTTCATCATCCACAAGACTGTCTTTGTTTTCTTCTTCATTTGAGTCATCCTTTTCTTCCTCTTCATCCTGTAGCTGTTTAGCTCCTTGAGCCTCCTTGGGCCTCTGACCCTGCTCTATGGAGAGAAGAGAGAAAATAACCTCTGGATAAACAATGGCAACTTAGTAGTTAACACGTGCTTTAACCATGAGATGAACAAATGGGAAGTTTTCTGCTCCCAAAGTGCTGGGATGACATGAAGAGGTTTTATGGCTGCAGCTTACCCATATCTAGACATTACATGTTCCCCTAGAGAAGCATCGCTGACTGTGATGGCGGGGCAGATGGGGCGGAGTTTAGCACGGCCTTTCACACTCCGCAGTGCTGAAGGCCACATGTTATACAGCTGTCTATGAAGTCTCCCAGACTTCAACAACTATGACATGATTTTATTTAAACTCCTGAGAAATTCAACAGGATGAATAAAGGCCATCACGGCCAGAGCCACTTAGGCCCAGAAGTAGAGAGAATAGATGCAGATTTGGGTAAATTGCTCTTAAAGTACTTGACATGGTGACAACTGCCTTGGAATCACAACAAATGTTGAGTTCCTCTAAGAATCTTTCATTACAATTCAAAAGCAAAAGTTGTCCACTGAAAAATAAGGCAGATAAGCCCAAAGAGAAAATGCAATCTTCAATATGAAGTATTTTCTCATTTTAAAAGAGGAAAGTAAATTTTATTCAAAGTGATATGGAGAATACATCTTTAGGGAACTCAATAGAGGCAACTGTGTGCTTGGTGAAGGGAGTGCAGAGCTAGAGCCAAAATGAGAAAGCAAAAAATACCAAAAAACTCTACCTCTACCCATGAGGACTTGTCAGACTCACCGCAGTGTTCAGATGAAGCTCTTGGAAGAGGCACATAAAAGCATTCTGAGATCACCACCAGGACCTGGGGGAAACAAAGTGACTTCACACCAAGAGACAAGACAAACTGCCAACCTGCCTCAAATCAAATTTCTATCGCTTAACCAGACACTTAGCAGCTAGTCAAAGCCTTCAGAAAAATACAGAAGAGTGTAAGAGTACATGATTCTTGAATATTGAAAAAAAAACTTCATATATATATATATATATATTTTAATCTGTTGAGAACTAAATTCTATTTTAAGCAGAGACTGGGTGGCTTCACATCTGACCTTGATGTACCAGTGACTTTCTACTGTGTTATAAAAGTCTTTTTTTTTTCTTCTTGAAAAACTACAAGTTTTTTAAGGGAAGAATCACCTCAGTCCATATCCACACCCAGAGACAAGCATGGATCATATTAGTGAAACTGTTGGCTTAATCCATTAATTGGCTTGTTTGTAATCAACAGGATAGAGTTAACTGGAACCAGAATAGACCCACGCCAAAGTCTCCAACTGCCTTATGTAAGTTACCAGGCAGAAAGATCAAACCTGGGAGAAGCTGCCCGTGTGTGAGGTGACATCTTACCCCACCACGCACCCTCGTTCTTCTTGCAAATGTCAGACAAGTGTTCTACCTGAGTGGCCTCAGCCTTTGCAGCTCACCCACACACACCGCCCTCCTGGCTACAGAAATACAGGCACTGCTCTCAGCGGTATGGCACACAAGCATGGCTTGCTTGCATATGTCTTCTTTTACCTAGCTAACACATGGAGGAAGACTTCTCTTTGAATGATGAGATTTCAAAAACAGGAAGAGCATATTAAAGCCATAGTCCTTCGGATTATAGTAAAACATAAGAGCATCCTACTTTGTATTCAAGACCATAAGTATACACATATTCATTTGTTCAACTTAGGTTAAAGGTTCATGTTAACAGCTCAGAGAGAAATGTTGAAAAGGGAGAAAAACAGCTGTTTAACTATAAATCAATATGGAAAAAAAACATCTGTTTCATATGTATTAGTATTTTGGAACTAAGCCTGCTCCTGGGTTGCCTAGCAACCTATGATGTCATTATGTATCACCAGCCAGGTGGCCACAACTGGAAGGCGTGGTTACCTTCCCTTTACCAGCCTGCCATGTGGTCTCTCTCTTGGTCTCTTCTCTCTTGGCCTCTTGCCTCTTGGTTCCTCTTGCCCTTTCCCCTTTCTCTGTTGGGGCACCCCCTGTCTCTTTCCCCTCATCATGTCCTACTCTCTCTTCTCCCTCTCTCTTCACCTCCATCTAATAAACCTCTTTCACATAAAATCTGCTGTACGCCTAATCATCATTATTTAATGTGTCCTCCAACAATATGAACCATGAATAAAGCACTCTGATACTTTAAGGATAAAGAGATGACAACCACTATAGGATTCAGATTTCCCATTTGAATGAAGAAGAACTAGGGTCCTGGGCACAGTAGACGATGGGAGACATGGCTGCCTGGCTCCTCTGAACTGCTCCAAGTGATATTCATGATCTTCATGGGTCTATAGCAGGCCTGTAATTGAGGCAAGGCATCTACAAAAGCCACTGAGATAGAGGAAGAAATTTGGGGTTAGAGAATAAGCCTCTGCCTACATAACTGGTTTAAACTGCAAAGATTAAAACAGATCTATCTGTTGAACCAAGTTTGAAAATTACATTTTAAAAGTGAGAGTCATGTGTTTACTACCTTTTGTGACTTTATTTTTATTTAATTCCATAAGGAAGTAGAATTGTTCAGCAATCCAGTGTTTCTAGCATTTCCACAAACTCCAGAGAGAGCAAGTCACACTTATGACAGACTTGAGCTCTATGGAGGACTAACTGGGTCCTACAGTCTAGAAGAGATTCACAGCTCAGTCTTGCCTTTGTCTGGCGTTGGCTGTGTGGCCGAGGACATGTCACTTAAGTATGATCTCATGCCATAGCTTATAAAAAAAGCTGTCTATGGGCTAGCTCATCATCAAGATCTATTTATGTTGTACACAATTCCATTATGTCTTCCTTCTCAAAATTTGGGAAGAAAAATCTTCCAATCCTTTTGTTAAGATTCTCTCGGTTCCAGATTATTTTCTGTTTCAAGGGTTATTGCCAGTTTCTAAGCCACTACAAAATGACAAAGTTTATAAACATTGCTTATAGATAAATGGTACTTTCTTTACTTTCTTTATCTTATACAATGAGCCTTTCATGTTTTGGCTTCTACCTAGAAAGAAGCACCTAAATGAAGTAGACAGATGCATTTTTTTCCCCACAGATGACAGCATCTATGCCTATAACATTCCAGACCTTCCTCTGTAGGAGGCCTTGGGCTAGACGAAGATCACAGGCATTGTGAATGTAATTTACTTAGCACCAAAGTTTAGGCAGTGCCTGCACAACAACAGAAATAGAAACCAGGTAACAGAAACAAACACAAGTCCTACCCCTTATTCTTCAATGAATGATTTTAGTAGCTGAAAGCCACTACTTAACGCTACCTGGATCACTCCTAGATTCTCTATGGCTTCTTTCAAGCAATTAGTGATAGCAGGGTGTGATGCTAAGTGAGCACAGATCCCTTTCAAAAACTGCAAAATATGTACTTGATTCTCAAACTGAGCCCATGTGAAAAATAGCATATAATATTTTATCTGTCAGGCGACTCAATCAAGAACGCCAAACTAACAGATTGTTTTAGTTATCTTTTGAATTTTGGGAAAAGATAATACAATATCCACGCTTATATGAAGCAATGACTTCAGACATTTCCTATGAAAAATGTCCTGCCCTTGTCTGTTAAAGTTCAGCTACATGAAGACTCACAGGAAGGAAGAGACAAGCAAGATCAAGTTTCACACGGCTGCAAGCCAGTGCGAGGCTTTCAGCCCCAGGCAATGGAGACTCCTGCAGACTGACCCACTACTGTAGGGCTCACCTTCAATCTAATGCTGTTCAGAAAGGCCCTGAGTTCCAAAGCCTTTAGTTACCTGGGACCAAACAGAGCAACTCAAAACGCTCTTTCCTTTCACGACTAAGCTAATTTTTCAAAATTTGGAAATCATGTGGTAAGAATAAATTCATCAGATTTATTTGATTCATTTAGCAACACTACAAGAAATCTCTTTAGAGTCTGGCATCTTGGCGGATATGTCATTCTTTGGGAACCTGGGGACATGGGAAGCTGCTCCCTAGGCTAATGAGAACCAGGCTGAAGGAGCTCTGTCATCTATGTGTTCCCTTTATCTTAATGTTATATACAAACTAGTATTCTTTATGAAGCTAAGATAAACAGACAACTGTGAAATACTGTCTCTGTGATCATAGAAGATAACAAAAATGGTATTCTGAAGTAAGTAATTTAAAATAAAATAATATGGCCATTTCAAATCTCTTAATCATATAAACAAGAGATTTATTTTTAAAGGTACATAAAAATTAATGATTATTGAAGATAAATTTAACATTGTTTAAAATTATAGAATCATGAGCAGAGAGGTGTTTGCTCCTTTTTGGAAATCTATTAATAGGCTAATTTATTGATTTATCTTCTCAATTCCCTGTCCAGAAATAACAGTGTTTCTTGTTTAATCAACTGACCAGTCTGCGGTCAATTCTACCCTGCCTTTAAGTTTATGATACCCTCCAAAGGGTTATTTCAATCTAAATTTCCAAAAAATAAAATAAAATAAAACATTCTCTACAGATAGGCATGGGATGCTAAAACCCTGTCAGTTGAGCAGAGTTTTCCCATCCACACCTACATAACCAAGGTCTGCACCTCTGATTCACCAACATCTCCACATTTGGTCTCTCACTGTCTCCCCTAGAGGAGAAATACTCATGTAGTTCCCACTCTGGTGAAAACAACAACAACAAAAGGCAGAAGAAGCATAGAATTTACACTCTGTTATTGTACAGTCAAATTCCATTAAACTAGGGCAATGGAGGCTACGTTAGTTAGCAATAAAATTATTAAGACATAGCTGGGACCTAATTAATTACTCACACAGGTAGCCATGTTCCACCCCACTTCCAAAGCTAACATCCAAAGCCAAACTAAGAAACTGAGCTAAAGTGTAGATAAAGAACCGTCAAGAAAGAGGTCAAGCTGCTTTAGCTTTCTGTAGTAAGTGTTTCCTACTAAGCTGTAACTTGCCTGTGACGCCACTATAAGGTCAATTGCTATTTTCAATTTTAAGACCTTGCTAGAGAGCCCAAGTTCATAAAAAATGTAAATAGTCTTACCAAAAGCCTACAGTGTACTCTTTATCTGGATGTTTCAAAATCATCAATAATTTCTATTATAAAATATTTAGAAACTACATAATTAATAACCAACAAAACTTTTCAGAAAGCATATTATCTTAATTAGAGTTTAACATACAATCAAAATGTCCATGTATACATTAAGTGAAACAGTTAAAATATTTACCTCAGGAAAAAAAAAAAAAACTAAACTAAACCAAACAAAAACTTAAAATGTCACAAAAAAAAATTATAGGAACTTCTGTATTTAAGCAACTCAGTGTATTATTCACTAATACCCCAGAAGAGAAGATACTCAAACCCTATGGGATACAAACTTTCATGTCCCATGACTTCCTTTGACTGTTTTTTGTTTGTTCTACAGCAGTAACCATGTTCTTTCCTCTATGTTCTCTAACAAAAACCAAACCAAACAAACAAATAAATAAAAAAACTAACCTCAGGGAACCAGAGGCAATACATAAGAATCTGATCAGGCTTTTGCAAGCTTTGGGTGCCCCTGTCTTCCTACTGGGTTGCCTCACACACCCATGATGTGAGGGAATTGTCTAGTCTTATTACAACTGGATATGCCATGTTTGGTTGACATCCCTGGGAGACCTGCCCTTTTTGGAGGGAAACAAAGGAGTAGATGGGGAAGAGGGAGGTGCGGGGGATAGACTGACAGGAGAGAAAGGAGAGAAAACGGTTTTAATGATGTAATACATGAGAGAATACATTAATTTAAAAAATGCTTAAAAAGAATATGGTCACAATTAGATATTCAAGTGGAGGATAGAAACAAAATAGTCTGTCATCGAAGTACATTCTTTGTCTCTACCACTGTGGTCAAAGCAAGGAGCTTTGTGTGAGATCATAGTAACTTCGTTGACTTGAAAGTTGATTACCAAATTCAGGGAAGATATTTATTTCTTCATTAATCACTGTGTACATTCTTAGAAGCATTAATATTCAGAACACTTAAAGGATAAGACTAGATGGTGATAATTAATGAATTTTCCATTATATTACACATTACCATTGAAACTAAAAAGCAAATTTACTGCTTTAATTGACACAAAATGATATTTATGTGTTTTTCCTTTCATGACTATCTTTTAATTTTACATGAAATTCTCTGTTTAAGAGCAAGAAAAAAGACTGATGTTATCTTACCAGACCCATGAAGAGGCCAAACACCAAAGTGGCAATGACGAAAAAGATGTAAGAACACCATGCAGGGATCCCCAGCGTCACTGTGAAATAGTTGTGAAGGTGCTGCAATCCAAAGGAAAATGAAATGTTTACTTGCAGTGCAGGGTCCAGCTGTAAGTCCAGTCTACGGACTGTCTCTCCACACGTGCCCAAAGTTTAGACTCATGTGATTCCTAATTAACCAATCAAATTTTGTAGCACTGAGAAACAGTAATTATCGAAATCACATCTTGTAAGAAATATTCTTCAAAGCTCAGGATCTTGACAGAGGTCTGGTCAAATTACTTTGCCAGATCTTTCTGCCATCACAAGCAGTTTTCAAATATCCTTCATGAAATCATTACCTGTTGTTCAGTATTTAATCTGAACATGGAATCTATTAATACATGAAACCCTTGGGCACTTATCAGTGCCTATGTATAAAACAAAATGATGCCTGAGAGTATGAACCACTTACAGTTTTTCAGACTTTTCCTAACGTTAAACAACATATGAATTATACATGTGAACTGTTAATTTCAAATCAAAGTCTACTTAGAAGTAGACTGCTACGGCCATATTTCCTCATATTGTTTTAGACCATCTTTGCTTCTAATTTAGAACAGGCTATAATAAAATATTTAATTTATTTAGTATAAACTAAAAACTAATAGGAACAACAGATTTTGAGAAACATGAAATAAAAGTAGAAACTTGGACTCATTTCACCTGTTTTTGTGAGTTCTGGGAAGATCATTCAATAATTGTTTTTGTGGTCTGCTAATGTCTAAATTGGCGCCTTTTAATTCTGTGCCTAATTGATTGCATTGTATTTTGTGGACTGGAGCTCTTTGGAATGTAGTTTCCAACTTCTAATGTTTTCACAGATGTTATTAAGTTCTGGCTCTATGTAAAAACTGTACATGAAACACTTTATGCTTTCTTGACTCGCTGTCATTACTGGGCTGAAGAGACAGAGGACCCTGAAGGTCACTGCCTTTTGCTGACTCATGGACATATCTGGAACTTGCTTTGTGCATACACGCTGCTTCACCTTACTCGGGAGGCCGCAATGAACAGACACAGTTTAGGAACTTCTGGGCAGTGTCACAGACCTTTCTCCAAAACGAATGATTCAAACACAGTAGAAACTTCCTAGGTGAAATTTTAAACTACAAAATTCTGAATCATTCTCTGAATCATTGCATTCTGAGTCTAGTTAGCATTTTAAAGTATTCTCTTATTTTAATGTTTCAAGTTTCTTGTATAAATTTATCCTTCAATAAATCTATTTGAAATTATAAAGAAATTCAACAATACCGTGGGTTAGTAGATAATTAATTATTACTAAAGACTAATGATTCAATAAACAATTATTAAGAGCTGGAATTAATTAAGTTGTTTGTATAGCCACAGACATAAAAATCCATCTGTTTACTCTGAGTTCATAGTAGCTTTAGAGATCTTTATGAAAGACTAGAGTTGTGGCATTATGAAGCTTTATATGTAGCTGATTACAAGAGATCCGGTTTAGCTTTAGATTTTTATGTTTCTGTTTCCTTAATCATGTATCCTCGGGTCAAAATATTGATACCTGCTCAATGTTATATGCTTTCATTATATAAAAACATCTTACTCTATTTTATAGAAAATATTTTAAAATGTCAGCTGATAATCCTGAACCTACTTAATATATATTAACTATGTATTATGAAATATATACTTAATAATATAATATATAAAATAATATAGTATAACTAAATATAAAAGAATATATAATATAATATAATATAATATCATTGATGTATATGATTTTATATATTATTAAGTTAGAGCTAAATTTTGCTACAAATCTTTAGTCTCTTGTATGAAGAAACTAAATGAAATAATTATTAAATAAAAGAAATAATATCGTTGCAATCAGTGGTCAAATCAAGACCTCCATGAACAGGCAAGTTCTTCTGTGCCCAGGAAGGCCATTCCTTCCTCTAGACATCTGAACTGTTGCAGCCAGCACTGCACGTTCTCATTCAAAGTTACAGTGGAGCTTAGTGTTCAGAGCTCATCCACAAAACAGGATGCATAGTATACTCTTGAGTTCAGGAACAAGCTCATGATCCCCTTCACACATACATTTCAGAATCCTTTTAATATCCTTCTTACCTGGGAGCAACCAGCAAGATCTCTTCAGTGGTATCGAAGGCTTCTTGCTTCCTTTCACAGTCTGTCTCTGAATATCTATCAAACCTAACCTAACAGCCTTCTGCAGGCTTCAAGAAAGGGACCTTATGAATGTATACCATCATAATATAACTTACTATGAAAGATTTCTGTACATTGTGTTAAATGGAAGAAAAGATGTGAGATGCCCTCATCTAGATCACATGGGAACTGCTACAGAATTTTATCTTAAGTCTGTTATTATTAGACTTAGTTCAAAAGTACATAAGTTTTACAATATGGTGCTCTTCTAAAGCAGGAAACAAACAATTCAAACACAATACATAATAAATGGCATTAAGCTCTTTCTACAGAGAAGGGAAAGAAATGGTCAAAGGTCATATTAAAGACCAAGAAATAATTCAGCATTTGGCCTAAATAATTGTTGTAAATCTGGAGTGACCATATGTTATTATAGAAGCACATACAAGGAGAGTATTTTATACTAGTGGGACACAACTCTTGGTTTCTGTAGCAACTATGCCAATTCCATCATTGTAGTTCAACAACAGATAAGAAACATCAGATGCTGTAATAACAATGGCTGTTTAATGAAAGCTTTATTACAAAACCAGAAAGCCCTTCTCAGGCTACAGTTTGTTGCATCTAGATACACAGACTGACTTTCATTCTTGCTAGAGAATCTTTTTATCTATATAGATATTTTCCAGGGGGGAAATGAATTAAAATAGAACCATATCACATAAGCATTTTTGTTTTTACAAGGACTTCAACACCAATCTAATAAAATATGACTGTGACACAGCGCCAGGGGTCCCTCTTGAAATTATACCTTTGTATAAACACATTATTATCATGATGAACCAAGTATGAGAGTAGTTTTATGGCTTAGAGAAAACAGAATTTATAAAAGTCCTTATAAATTTTCATTTTCCTAAAAGCTGTATTTCCACTTTTTAAAAATATTATCATCAAATATAATAACTGTTTAAATGTACTCACCCAAATCTTTCCAGATATGCTAAAAAGACCAGCCATTCCAGACATCCTAAGAAAGAAAGAGAAGCATCTAGTGACATACAAAGACAAAACCATGCAAAGCTCAGGCCAGGGACCCCACCTTCACTGAGCCTGTACTCCTGGCTCGCTCTCCTCCATTCACTTCAGTTCTCAAAAAGGTTACAGTTCAGGGTCATTATATAGATCACTCTGCTGTAAATAGATTTCAAATCCTGTCCCCTTATCCTGTCATATAAAAAATTCATAACTGCAAACAAATTATATATGCAGAAAGACAACATATCCAGGTAACTTCCAAAGGCAAAAGCTCAATACTGTCTAGTACAGTATCTTTCAGGATATAACTACCATAACTCATTTGCTTTTCCTTCCTTTCAGTCCTACCCATCCTCCTTCAACAAGCACTGTCAGCTAACAAGCACTCCTTGTATGTAACTGTAAAATCAGAAGCCATTATGTGATCACTCTCACTGCCCTGTCACCACAGTTGAACCTGATGTATACCATATCACCTTGGTATCAACAGCAAAGACGACCTGACTGGTCAGGCCAATTTATCAACCTGTGACTTTTGTTTGTTTTGTGAATGACATGATTCTTTCTGTCATCCCTTTTTCCTGCATTCCTGATTATTCCACCTCTCCGATATCAGATATCACCCTCTTTAGCATGAAGACATGGCATCCTCACCCCTATCTCGTGAACTGAGCAACACTGCCCTCACATGGCCCTCCAGCTTCAGAACAAAATTCTCTAAGAGCAGTCCTCTCTTGCAATTTCTTCAGTGGATGTCGTCAAACCATTTAAATCTAGCTGCATCCTAACCACCATTTGTCAAGGTCATAACAATGTCACCCTGCTGCATTCTTCCTTGTCCAAGATTGTCTTTCTTTGCCTCCTAGCATCATGGGACACAAGTACTTAATATTTCTTCCTTTAGTATCTTTTCTTTAGATTCTTAAAAAGGTTTCACTGTTGTTTTTCTCTCTGTCTCACTAGAATAATTTTTCAGTTTCCTTTCCTAATTTTAATCTCATGCATTGATCGTGGTATGTGTGAATACACAGTTGGGCTACATGTGGTGGCCATAGGAGAACTTGCTTAAGTCACTGCTCTCCTTCTACGAGGGGCCCAGGGATCAAACTCACGTCAGTAGACTTGGTGGCAGGTGCCTTTTCTTCCTGTGCTATGTCACTCATCCACTTGTTCTTGATGACTTTTGCTTAGTATGGAGCTTCTCGCTTTTGAGGTGGGTCATAGGTTTATCCCAAGCACACTACTCTTTACTTCCTATCTGTTCTCTTTCATTCTAGGGCTTTAAACCCTGTGATTGTGTTCATTAATTCTCCACAGGAAACTAGGTACACACACTCAGCTTAATAGCATTACAAAGCCTAACAATCTTTCTCTTCTTCATTTTTAATATTTTATTAAATCTTTGAGAATTTCACACAATAAATTTTGATCATACTTACCCCAACACTTCCCAGTTCCATCCCCACCTCCCTTTTGCCCCCTTGCTTCATGCTGTCATTGTCACCTTCCTCTCCTTCTTCTTTTCTCCTCCTTCATTACCATCAGCTCCAATTTGTGCCAGGTATATACTTGTAGGTGTGGGCCATCCAAAGGAGTATGATTGGCATAGCAGGAAATCACACCGTTGAGGAAAACTGACTTTCTCTTTCAGAAAAGAAATCCAGTAACATCCATAGCTCAATCAGAGATAAGGGCTCATGAATCCTTTCCACTCCACACTAGAATATTGACTGGAAGCCATGATCTTGATTTTAAATATCCCTAAGCTATCCAGCAGTTTATTTTATTCAATATTTTAGATAAAATCTAATTGTATCACTTTCTCCTTTCCTTGCCTTCCTCCAACTCCAACCCAAACAAAACACCCTTTACTTCCTCTGAAACCTATAGCATCTTTTTTTCTTTAATGTCCAGCAGAATCTTGATGGTGAGAAATAGCAAGATCCACCAAGTATTGAACAGGAATCACAGAGAGATTTTTTTTTCTATGCCTGTTCTTATCTGGGCCATAGTTCCTCCTGTCCTGAAATTCCTACCCTAATGCTCCCTTCAGAGCAACCACTCTTAACACCTCCTCAAATAGGCCCAAGATCAAATTTTTCCAGCATAATATAAGAAGCTACACTGTTGATTTTCACAGCTCTATCCAAATGATCATATCTCTCTAGTGTATTTTGCCATCGGTCTTACTAGTTTTAAGTTATCTAATAAAGGGAATGGAGAAAGCAAGCCTATGCAATGAAGTCAGAAATACTTGGCTCCTAGAACAACATCTACCATAAAAATCAGTGTTCATTTATTTATGGAATGAAATGCCAGAGGTGGGCTGTTTTTAGGATAAGCTCCATTATCTCTCAAGCACTAACACAGGTGTCATTTGGTAAATGGGATGTGACATTACATTGTTTCTATGATATTAAGGATATTTCTTACAGCTGTATATACAAAATAAAATTACTAATATGGCCATTCAAGACTGAAGTCAAGTAACAGTTTGAGAATTATTGTAGTTCAGCCTTGTCTATTTTACTAAATATTGTCAAAAGCTACCCCCAGAAACACTGTGCTGGACAGAGTTTTATTCAATGTAAGTCACAAGAATCCCTGAGTACTACAATTTGAGGAAAATCTGTCCTTCCAGATAGTGGCGACCAGCTCTAAGTACCACATTTGTAAAGAGAAAACAGTTGGCATAGCTTGCTGCAAAAGTTGCAGGAAAGGTTTTCTGTTACACCAACCCTCAATCCAGCCACTCACTATCCATGACACTAAAACCACTTGCAGAAGATGTGGGTGAAAAACCAGAAACACGACATTGACCAATCACAGGAATGGGCAGTCTAGCTAAGAAGAAGGGAATATGAAGAAAAATCTAGACTTGTAAGGTCTACACATTAACATGGGACCTATTTTTTTACATACAACACTTTATTGCTATCTTACGTTAGAGAGGCTGGGGACTTCCAGCCAGTCAGAGGCTCAACTGATTGCCATTTCTTCTCTAAGATGTAATTCTGTAAGTCTTCATAGATTCCTGGACCTCGATAACGGCGGAATATTCCATCTTTTGCACTACAGATTATAAAATCAAGTAGAAATTAGATAAATCAAAGTAGGTATTACAAAATAATAATAAAAATAATTATTGTTCACATTTGTAAACTCTGCTTGGACTTTAAATTATCTCAAAGGAAGAAAACAAAAAAACTGTAGCCAGACATAAACCAGAAGGCATGTGTTATTCATTCTAATTTAATATAAATGAGAAATTCTAAAACTTAAAGCATTAAATATTCTATTTCATCACTGTTTAATCTACAACCATAGCCTAAATTTCCAGCAAGATTTAATCAGACAACTCATTTGTTAGCATGTTTGCAACCAATTATTTTTATTTTTTCAAGCAAAATAGCAACTGTTGTCACAGTAACAAATTATGCCTTCATATTTCCAAACTTATGTCATCCAAATCTCTATGCTCATGATCAATAGCAAAGCACATACCGCACATCCACCTGGAAAGCCTTCCCTCTCTCACCTTCTCGGCCCAGATAGGATTCACAGGAAGAATTTACACATGCCCTTTTCTTCTCTTCATTCCCAATATACTACTGAGTGAAACTGGGAGTTCTGTTCCCAAGAATCCCTTGAACCTCGTTGGCTTGTATCTTGAATGACCCCAAGGGCTATATCCACAGAAAATTTGTATGTGTGTGTGTGTGTCATTTTCCCTTCACCTCTCATTAGCACGGTTCACTATCACCTACTTAACATATTCTCATGAAACACTGAATGCTAATCTTTATAAGATCATAAAATTAATAAAACTTACTGAAAAAATGCTGGGAGAGTGGTAACAAAGAAGCGGCCGCTCAAACCTAGAAAAGGCATAAACAAAAACAGTTAAAAGGTAAACTCCAAGTAACTCAAGTACCCAAGCACTGAGAAGCATCATCCTTAAGACTGCTATCATGACCACATGAACAAACATCACTAAAATTACTGAATCACATTTACTATTTTTTTATTTAAGGGAAAAAAGACTTTTATTTCCTAATATTTCCCAGTTACTGATACATCATACATGCTTATGTTTCAAGTGTTATAATAGAACTTTCTCATTTATGTATTACTTGGCATTGTATGTAGGTTAAAAGGATATATTATAGAGCAATAGATCTAAGCTGAATACTAACTTTTCCAAACTAGTTTTATAGCTTAGGTAATTTTTTTAGCCTTTTTGAGTTTCAGCTGCCTCATCTATAAAATGACTATATTAACACTTAGTTAATTATTCTAGGATCAAATTGCTAAGAACATAATGTATTCCCTAGTGAAAGACTCAACAAATTACAGATATTAAGTACTAACTGTCAACTTAAAAAGGACAACACATTCTTCATTACAGGTGTCTGCTTGAAGCTTCTCCGCAGTACAGTAGATGGTCCCATATCCCTGCACATATGGGAGGAATTAAGTAAACTTAGTAAGTTTCTAAGAAAGAAAGAGAGGAATGAAGCAAAGATACATGCAGTCAAAAGCAGGACATCTGGAGGGAACCCAAGGGTAGATGTTTTATTTCATTATATAAATATATAAAAGTAAAAAGAACATTTAAAAGTAAAAATCATTTCAAATATAAGCCAGGCCCAGTGAGGCATGTTGGCAATCCTGCACTACAAGCCTGCAGAACGCACCTCTACACACTAAGTTTCTCACCACTCCAGGCTACAAGTGATGCCCTGTCTCATAAAATGTAAAATACAGTAACAATATAAAGACACTTGTACTAGTCCATTCCATTAATGAATGTTTTAAAAAGACTTAAAATCCCGATTGCTTTATATATTTATAAAATTTTCAAGTACTGTACATGTAGCATACTTATTTTTCAAGTGTTCTAGCAGATCGTTACTGAACAGGAAGTGCACGTCACGTGTTATGCTATCTGCATGTAAAGGTGAGTAACCTACAGGTCGCCTTCGCTCAGCAAGTAGTTCCTAAGAAACTTTGTTTGAGGAACGGCCATCGCTCCTGAAGATAACGAGTTGAAGAAAGCAGACAGGGTGCTCTCAGAGTTCAGAGGGAAACAGTTTAACTGATACGGCCTCACAGAGACATATACCAAAAAACAGCACGCAGCAAACCTGACTCACAATGACTGAAAAACAGCTCTCTGCCCTATGTGATTTGCAAATCAATTATATTTAAAAGGGTACCTGTACTGAGTGAAGGGAAATAGCATAAAAAATAGCACACATCCTTTTTACACTTACTATTTCTACCTACCTCTCTTGCTGAACAATACGGACAAAATCAAATATCTATGCAAATCAAGTTTGAATATTTTTATATCTTGGGTCACTTGAAATATGATACACTGAAGCTTTGCTTTTAATAATATTAACAATGCTTTCATCATTTTTATAAAATAAAGCTATATTTATATAATACATATGATTACCTGGCTAGGCTTGCTGACTATGGTCCCTCACTGAATGAAGGGTTAGATATACCGCTAGTATTACCAATCAGTTGTACGGAATTCTATCCTAACCGCATGAGGTAGGGAAGGACTAAGGAAATAGGTTCCCTCTACTCAGCCACAACAGAGTCATATCCTTACTGGGGGTAGATCTTCTCGTGTGGCTGCTTTAGGGTCATCTACATCTGCCTGTAACCACACTCTGCTCTGTAAGGAAATACTAGTTTCTCCAAAGTGAACTTTGATTGGTCATTGAAATCTTAGAAAGTGCTTAGTGGTAGACGTTTCCTAGTCCCACCTAGGATGAAAATTCTCCTGACACATTAATGGAGTCAGCAAACTATGACAAAATCAGTGTTGAGTTTGCAAAGAGCAACATCATTGCTCCTGATAGGGGCAGTGAGACAGTTAGCTGAGTCTCCACTGTTCAGAGGGTGAAACATTTGTAGAGGCTATTTGAACATAATTTTCTATCTCCGTGTGGAATGGGTTGATGTGCCTTTGGGGATGGGGTAGCAGCAGTGTGAAGACTAGAGCGATATGTTACTAAGGCTGAAGCTCTCTGAGCAGGAGACAGCCATGGGCATAGCTCAGGGTGGCATCCTTTTTGTAGATGTGATGAAGCAGCAGACCTGCATGATACACAGGGTCTGCTGAGTACGAGTACGGAGAGGAAAGCCCTAGAAACCATCATCTTTACTTGGGAATCCTAGTGCTAGGAGTCAGTTATCGCCTTGTTAGCCATAGAGGCCCCAGAGGCTCCTACACCAATAAAGGCTGTTGCCATTGCTGCTGATTTCGTTCTAGAACTGAATGGCAAGATACTAACAATAACAACATCACCGAGTTTGGGTTTCAGGACTGGGATAATTAAGGCTAGGGCTGAGCCACAAGTGTTACCTCCTGCAGAGTAGTGTTCACAGTGCTGAAGGTGCTACCAAGTACCTTTCTCAGCTGTGGCTGCTGTGTGCTTCTTCATGGAAGTATCAGGCAATCTGTGCCAGACCCCAAAATAGTGACACACGTAGTTATGGACAGAACAAACTTTGTGACTAGATTTAAGGATTCACATCTGATACTTGAAACTTAGATAAACTTTGGTCAAGGAAATCAGAGGCCGAGTGAAGAACCAGCTGCTATTTCTTTGTTAAATACAGATGTACCAGCTACAGTACTGCCCAACATTTGTGTAGGGCATATAATCAGGTTATTACTTGACTCAGCATCTAAAAATTTTTCCATTTCCCTTTTTTCCCACTTTTTCTCACTTATTTTCTATAGTAGGAGGAACATCCAAGACTTGCCAACACTCATGTTCTCGAGATGCAGGGACTGAAAGAGGGCATGGATGTTCAATGCCTCACTGAAATTGGAGAAGAATTGTCAGACATGTCACCCCTTCCAAGCTCAGAGACTCATGTGGAAAAGTAGGGCAGAAAAAAAGTAAGAACCAAAGGAAAAGCTGAAGTGTAGTACAGAACTATCTTCCAAGCCAAACTATCTGTTGACTATTGATATTCCTCCATGAAATAAGGGCTGGGAGGATCTTGGGACTCTCATCGAAGTATCCAGCCACTCTGCACAGCAGGTTATATGAAACTCTATCCTACTGGATTGTGGTCTTGGGGAAGGAGGAGTATGCAGGCAGGGAAGGACTCGGGAAGCAGGCTCCATAACTTACGCAGTCGTAAGTTATCAACCATGTAGAGGGGCAGACCCTCCAGTGTGGCTGCTGTACAGTCGCCCATGCTCCTGCCTTCACTCATTGTGTAGGCTAGTTCTAATAACAAGCTAGAGTTAATTTAAAAGAGGGAACCTCAACTAGGACTGCCCCTGCCAAACTGGCCTGGGGGCAAATCTATGGTGCATTTTGTTTGGTTTGGTTTTCTTTTTGCTTTGGTTTTTTGGTTTTGTTTTTATTGATGACTGATGAGGGAAGATGAGTCAAGCTCACTGTAATGATCCCTGGGATGATGGTCCTGGGTGCTTTAAGCATGCAGCAACCCTCTATAGCTTCTACTTCAGTTCTTGCTCTCAGGGACCCTGGGTTTCTTTCCTAACTTCCTTTAGTGATGGGCTTATAAGCTACAATATAAAATAAGCCCTCTCTTTCCCAAGTCACTTTTGTCATGGTGTTTTAGCACAGCAACACATGCTCTAACTAAACACCATGCTTTCTTAGAAAGCTTTATAAACTTAGTCGTTCCTCAGGATAAACAGGTGGAATCAAACTCTGACTAGTTATTGGTACTGTAGGAAGGGGCAGAGGTTGTCTAATATTCCTCCCTAAAGCAAAAAGTTTCTTGCTTTCTCACAATTAAAAAGTGAAATTTGGTCTAACTGGATATCTACATGTAGAAAAATGAAATAGATTCATACTTATCACCCTGCACAAAACTAAAGTCCAAGTGGATCAAAGACCTCAACATAAAACCAGATACACTGAAACTGTTAGAAGAAAAAGTAGGGAAGAGCTTTCAGCTCACTGGCACAGGAAACAACTTCCTGAACAGAACACCAACAGCACAGGCTCTAACAATCAATAAATGGGACCTCATGAAACTGAAAAGCTTCTATAAAGCAGAGGACACTGTTGTCAGAACAAAATGCCAGCCTACAGATTGGGAAAGGACGAGATTACAACCAACTCCTGTGGGTAAGGCAGCCTAAATAAAAGAGTACACAAAGGGAGACCTGAAT